GCATCACCTGGCGCGAAGGAGCAAGGTTTCTTAAAATAGATTCCAGCGCGCGGCTAAAGTTCGTTCGGATATACAAAGATACAAACGCGCATGTGTGTGTGTGTCAGTTGATGCGGACAATAGTAAATCTTACCGTAACTTGGTATAAACTGGATTTCTCTGTAAATGAAATTATTTAATTCTGTAAAAGCCGAATACATCCGCCACCTACCTACTATCTTGTTATTGAAAAGCTATATTTGGTTTTGTGTTTTTCTATAATAAACAATGACTAATTCGCGAACAACATTATAAGTATATAATTAATATGTTATATAATTATATAATATTATTGACAGAAACGACACACAAAGTTTTATCCGCAATTTAATTCGCCCTGTAACACACATTCAGATTTACTGTTGGATTTATTCGAATATTATTGTCCTTGAATAGCATATAATTCAACCACCATCATATGCATTCTTAGGCTATTTATTATTCTCTTGTTTTTTTGTAATTGTCTGTCTTCTCCTTATACTTCCCATCCCAATATATTCCAAGCATTTGTATCCTTCTACATTTTCAACTCTCCCTGTGTGTGTGTGTGTGTCGAGAGCGAAGTACTTCGCGAAGCACTTCTCATTGGTGGTCCTCTCCTAACTGTTGCTGCTGACGCTTCTCTCACAAGCTGCTCTTCCGGAAGAGCTAGTCGTCCTTACAAATCGCACGTGGCAAAGCCAGCCGGATGCTCGGCGTTAACTATTTTTACGTAGATTTTTCTTCGAGGTCTCTCTTTATATCTTCTTGTGATATATTTGTTTTTCCGTCATGTCGGCGCGCGCCATTATTATTACGAAATGATTCTCGCGTATTAATATAGCAGGTATACATCCAGGATTTCTCACTATGCGCGCTTCAGATCAACGCGATAGAATTTCCAACGATTTGTTTTTCTTACGCCAAATATACGTGGAGCGCGTGGACAGACGAACCGCGCGATTGATGCAACAACGACGCGACGCAAATTGCATTATATTCGGTTATTGCTTGGACGAATAAAACGGGTTGCATGTCTCGATAAAACCTGCGTTCACACGGAAAACTGTGTGTGTGTGCGCGCTATATCGCGCTTTATAATTACGATAAAAGAAAAAAAAATTCATCGACGAGAAACTGTCAAAACAAATAATGAAATTTTATTTTCGGGACCGATTTCTAAGCGTTTCTTAATGGCTTTTCCAATTTGACCCAATTAATTTACTTTTTTGCCGTGTGTAATTTGTGTCTTAATTTTTTTTTTTTAAACTGATAAAAAACAATCGTTTAACGATTGAATAATTTAAAATTTTGTCACGCGCTGCGGAACTTAATTAACACAGAATCGACGAAGTTATTCCCACACATACATTATCAGTTCCGCTATCGCAGCTGCGGTTTCTAACAATTTCGGTAATACAGTTTAATCCATGGCTATGAGGACACATTTGATTTATGTCATGTGCGTAAAGCGTGAGGGAGCGATAACATTGCACTTTCGCTGCAATCGATGTCACGCTCGCGCGTTTAAAATTCACGGCGCTTCGAGTTATTGATATTCACGATGTACATATATATACATATATATATGTATAGGAGAAATAAGCGATCATTAATACACGTGCCGATGATTCGCACGATAATGAGAGATGTTGTATTCACGCGTAAAAAAAAAGTATATCGCTCACGCTATACTCAATTTTACTCTGTTGCAAAACACCGAGATTTTGTGATCTATTCACAGCAGCGCATCGGGTGGTACGTTGGACGTCATGGTAAGAAAACGCATTACCAGCTTTGCTGGTATTAGGTTTCACGTCGAGCGAGCTGTCGATATCAGCGACGGTCAACATGTGATGCATAGGAGACCATTAGATCCTCTATTTAACTTTTTCTTGAATCAATGTCTTGTGTATTTTGATCATATATGTAACGTTGTTCTTCCTCTCTCTCTCTCTCACTCTCTTTCTCTCATCTCATCAGACTGATACATGTTCGAGAAAGTTCCGAATATTATATTTCGTCATTTGTATTTTCATCGCGAACTTCTCGAACGTTTGCAAAGGCTGGTGGTTCCGTTCGAATATAATAACCTGTTATTTATTATAATCACGGTTCGTAGACAAATAAGCTTAAACTTGTGGAAAGCAGCTTGGTGTTAAAGGGCGCCAATTGGTTGTTAAAGATATTTTATGGACTAAATACATGTAACTGTTGCAAACAAAATATGTTTACTTGAAAGTAGCGGCTCCGCAGCTCGCCGATTATTCCTCACTGTACGATACGTCTTTGCCGGGAACGTGTCAAGAGCGAACGGAACTTCAGCTTGTCTCGCGAACATTTTTAAACTCACACTAGAATATTTAGTCCACTATCAGTTTATCGTGAATGAACTGTATAAATTCAATCACCGAGCTTGGATCGTCACTTATACCCTGCCGCCGTTATAATCTGTTGTCGAACCGGCAAACAAGAAAAAATAACTTTAGTGTAACCGTGTAAATCGAAGGCGCGTTTACAATATATTATTTGAGAAAAATAACATAAAAACAAACGTACGTTTCTTTCATTTCAAAATATGAAAAGTCTACTGTTTTAATATATAAGTATACTTATATTTTAATATAATATTATTATAATATTAATTATAATATTAATTTAATAATATAAGTATATATACTTATATTTTTATAAAATACTAGAAAATATAACATATATTCGCGCGATACAGCTTTTATTATTACAATAAATCTTTGCACATGCTACAAACGAAATGTCGTTGCACAAACATTTCCATAATAATATACACATACACGAATAGCACGAAAATTGCTTTACTGCACTGCGCCTCGTCGATGCTCCAATTCCAATCGGACTTTGATGTATTCAACATGCAGAAAAGTGAAAAGTTACCTCTACAACTCTACAAACTGCAAAAACATAGAGCGCCCAATCAAAGTACGACATAGGAAAACTAATGTCTTTTTTTATCGATGAAGAGTATCGCAAAATCCCTTGTTCAACACTTTAATACCGCACTTTTTCTCTTTTTCTCCGCGTAGTCAAAGGAAATCGTTGAGAATCAATTGACGACGAGCTCTGTTAAAAGTAGTTTAGCATCCATCGCTTAAACGGAAACAAGATCAAGAAAGCATCGAACAATTTCTGTTGTTACAGGGAGGGCGAGGGCGGTGGCGGTGGCGGTGGCGGTGGCGGCGGTCGTTCTGTAACCGGCGCCGGTGGTGGCGGCGGTGGAGGAGGCGGGGGAGGAGGAGGAGGAGGAGGAGGGGGTGGTGGTGGTGGTCGACGGGCACCGAGCCTACGGCTGGTGAACGGAAGAGCGACCACAGGGGTGAGCCTGCACACCAGCAGCACCGAATCTGTGCGCTCTCCCCATCACCAGCTCGGCCAGCAGCAGGCCGGCAACAACTGCCACGCCGGTAACAACCCCGCGAATAATCATCCACGGCTCAACAAAGATGACAGCATCAAAATCAGCATCGAGAACACCAACACTTGCACGGACAGTCTTGTCACAGCTCTAGACGACGAGACCCTGCTCATCACTGATTTTCTGGGCGATACAGGTGTGTATGGAGTAATACTGCTCTTGTATATACATGATAGAAACGGACGGAAAAGTTTCACTTCAGTAGGAATGTCGTTTATCTGGATAGTGTAATAGTACATGAGCGTGCGCTCTCGTGAGAGAACCCGTTAGAGCTATTATAAATTTTTATTTTTTTAACGTAAATTCTTCACGAACTAACTTCTTAACGGGATCTGAAGAATAAGAGTAAAAATAACGATTTCAATGATTCTTTTTAATAAAACGATATATCGTTTCTAACGGCACGAGAAATGAATCATTGCAACATAAATTTACACCACAATTGTGTGTTACACGCTGCGTCGCTTCTACTGTAATATCCAGCGTTATCTGTTAATGGTTAGTTGTACTAAATCACGGCCCGCGACCTCAGAGTCTGGCCGTGAAATTATACGTGGAATTTTTCTTGATTCACGATCGATAACAATTTATCAAAGTGAAATGTTACAACGATCTATATACCGAGGTTACACACGTTACACGCGTTTGTGTTCAAATAATTTGTATAATCAATAATTATCGAAGTCCGTTTTTTGTAGAACAGACACTACAACTGTCATATTGTGTGGTGTTTGTGGTGAAATTTCGTAAATCATTGATCGTACATGTGACACGTACGTATGTGTGTAACGAACGTATTGTCCACCGGACACAATGCGGAAGTGAGCAATGTGACATACTTGCGCTGACGAAATGTGCACAATATAGTTGATGAGGGAGAAAGGGTCGCGAAATTTTGTTAAGGAAATAATTGAAATACAAAGCGAGAATTAACGATGCCACATAATACGATAAACATTTTAAAAATGTGAAAAAATTTTAAATCTCGCACAAGTCTCGTTCATTTGAATGTACGATACAGCGTAAAGCGATTTGTTTTACAAGAAACTAATTATCATATTCGCGGATGCTTCGGAGAATAAGAGGCTGTTTAATTCAAATCCCGCTAATAAACTCTGTGTTGTATCGGAATGTTTAACTTTCATTTGCATTGCATTTCCATTGCATTTCAAAATATAACGATTAAGAAACTCATATGTTCTATACGTTGCAGTTTTCAGTTTTTTTTTTTTTTCACTTCTTTTGCTTTGATTGCAATTATAATGCAACAATGTTATTTCGTATGCCTCATTGTGTACATGCAAAATATGATTCATTACGTGCACGCAGCAACGTGCGACGAACGCGATAAATTGCGATACTTGATCTCTTACGCCAATGTGACGTGTATCGGCAGGGATTATATGGTGGAGCGTCTTGGTAGAGATTAGCGTATACCAACATATACAAAAAAAGAAACGGGCATATGTACTCGTTCGTCCGGCTAAAACCGGTCAGTGGATACGCGTCTCTTCTCGCGCTTCTTCCACGTCCTTGTTCCGTTAGTTAAAGTGATTCTTGCGCGTGGATCTGCGTCTCGCGACCGGGTCAACGCGACTACTCTCCGCGTATTCATCTCGCTCGCGTTTTGAACTTTGTCGCGATGGTGCACATCCAAGAAGGAGGATCGGTCTCCACGGGACAGGAAAAACCGCTATTGCGACAGAACACCAATCCGTCGCAAAACGGTTTTAACGATATAACCTCATGGAAATCGTACGAGAATGTTATCTCGAGCTTGACGTTATGGACTGTTCGTAAACCGCGTAAACCCGGTGAGTGTTTAAACTTTAAAGTCCGTCGTCGTCGACTTTGTTAGTACGTATTTCGTAAACGGAAATAAACCTGACAATGTTACTCGTTGAAATTTTATTATTTCGCGTACATATAAAACAAAGTCGCTCCAGTAAAATTCATGTTCAACATAAAACTACTAAACTTGAAACGTAATTAATCATTTATAAAATTAGCACGTAATACATTACAAGCTAGAATTATTAATCAGTACGCACAATAGATTACGCAATAAATTGTTTAATGTAATTATTATAATTGCATATTTATATTAATATATGTATACTTCTACACATAAAGTCAGTCACTTACAGAGAATAATAATTCGCAATTACGAAGCTCTCTGCATTGAAATTGATTCAAATTAACAAGTGAATTTGAGTAACTTATTCATCATCGCTTGTTACTCATGTGTTATCCGCGCGTCATACAAAACGAGTTTGAAGAATAGCACAAGTTGCTTCGAGAAACGAGTTTTCTCTATTAAATTCCGGGAATGTATTTTTTATTACAATTTCAAAGCTCGCAAAAATGTACAACTAGGATCGATACGAGCCAATATGTCGGATGTGCAATTATATGCACATTTATTTTCTTCTCTTTAATGTGTAAATTAATACACGTGGAGATTCGAATTTAATTTAATTCAAAACCTCACATACACAGAATGCTTGGTTTGCATTTCAAATGTGTGAAACGCCGAATTCACTTCCTTACAAAATTTAAATTGTTTGTTGCAAAAAAAAAGCATCTTGGCCAAAGTCGAACTCGAATCTCCCACATTCCTTGCAGACGCCTTTTGGAGTTATAAAGATATTTCGGGCGACGACATCAAGAGCGATACGTGTTGAAGCTATCGTGTTGTGAGTTACAAATGTGGTTGTACAACCGCGCGACTGTATCTCGTACGACCCGCTATTGTACGATTCGAGACTGGGATTTCAGGATTTATCCGACAATACGACATTTTTACGCGCACTATTGGACGATAATAAAAGTCATGAAATACGGAGAAAATATACCGGGTCCATTGCCAAAATCTTATACGATCTCGACATCGTGTGTGTTGCAGGCAACGAGATGAATTACAAAGGCAGCGGCAAGGTCCACTTCGGAGTGGACGATGTGTCCCTCTACGGGACTCCGAAGGAGGAATTGGGCCCGGGTCTACCGGGCCAAGAGGTCAAGCAGAGCTTCTTGAAGAATCAGCTTCAGGCCCTGTTCCAGCCGACCGACAACAAGTTGGCCATGAAACTCTTTGGCAGCAAGAAGGCGCTCATGAAAGAACGAATCAGGCAAAAAGCCGCAGGTCACTGGGTCATCCATCCTTGCTCTAGTTTTCGGTAAGTTCTTCAACTATATCAGCTTTGATCTCATTCAACAGGCCGCATCAATATTTTGCGCTATCACATTCGTTCCGGTTGGAAAACACGTTCCACCGAGAGAAATACCGGTTTTAGTTGCAGCTTCATATCTAAGTCTGCTCGAATAAACTCGCGTGTGAGATCAGTTTTCCCGTTCCATACATAGAGAGAAAAAAAAGAACAAATTCTTTAGATAAGCTCTTTACGAAACACAAATATTTTTTCTAGTTGTCAATAAAAAGGTAACTTTTTTTGAAAAAATAATTTGCAATATTAATCATCGTGTATTTATCAATATTTATTTTTTGTATAAAAAAAATGTAAAAAAAATTTATATATAAATTAATTATATAACACAAATATTACGGCAGTGGCGTGACATTGTTTGCCACAAGACCATCAACCACCTTACACATTGCAAAAAGAGTTTCAATAGTTGCTGTTATATAATAACAGCGGAAATGATAAATGACAAAAGTGGCGAACGAAGCGAGCGTACATCAGCGTTCCGCAACGTCGACTTTTGCCCACGAGCCAAAACTTTTCGGCTCCAAACTCCACAATCCCAACTCGAACATTGTGAGGCAGCTGTCTTTGTGCCGTAATAAAATATCTGCCGTATCCGGGATCGTTCATCGTTGCGGCTTATTTGAGTCGACCCGAGTTATAGAGCGCGCGCGCGCGCACGTCAAGCAGGGACGGTTTTCGGAGATCACAAAAGCTCGCGTTTGACCTGGGTACGTGTCGCTCGCGGCTTCGATCGATCTGGGTCGCGCGGAATATTCAATGGCATTGCAAGAATCGCAGATCTAGTCATGCACATGTACAGTAAAGTCGTGACAGTCTCGAGCTTCGCCCGGAGAAGGAATAGCGCGAGTCTTTACACTGTCAGAAAGAGCCTCCTTTAAAGCCTCCTTTCGCTTCCTGCGAAGAGTCACCTTATCGCGACTGACGGCTCGCAATTCGTCACTGAACTATGAATGTGCTTCTCACGGAGAATCGTTTGGCCTGTTTAAGAACTCATGTAAATGAAATAGAATTATCATTGGTTTACTTATATCCGTCAAATAATAAATGGTGATCCTTAACTATCGGTATGCTTTGCGGAATCATTTATCAATTTTGAATAAAAAGAGATGACATTCGGAAAAATTTGTCACCGAGTGCGGTGTTAAGTAGAAAGATTTTTTTATATTTAGGTTTTTAACATAATATCGTCTTTTTATATATCTGGGATTACTTGAAAATACACGTCAACTGACACAGAATCTCGTCTTCGAATCTTTTGCAAAGAAATTAGCACAATTTCATTTTGTGTCTTAATCGCAACGTTCGTTGCGAAACAAGAAACTTTCGGTTTATGACGAATTAACGGAACGAATCCGCACGAGAATGTCGCCTCGCTGCAATATCAAATGAACGATATTAACCGCGCACAACAAGCGCGCCGTTTCATAATGCGCGTAACACTATACGCCGGCTATACAACTTTTGCGGGTCCCATTGGCTGAAATTGCCCGGCGCTTCTGTTCGGAATCTTAGCTAATTACCAGCAGCATCGAGGACACATTGAATCCTCATAACATCCTTTACGATTCCACCGGGTCGCGCGATACTCTTGTGAACATTGAAACTTTAATTCGCGACCTCGGTAATAGCAATACACATTTTCCGTACGATATTTCGAGCGTAACCGAAGACTGTCGTTAGCAACGACGTACACGAACACCGGTATCTGTTTATCAAACTATGCAACAAATATCGGTAATTATTTTTCGATCAATATGATAGAGTTCAAAAATCTACAAAATTAAATTTCTATCCAGTATTTTATTTCAATCAATAATTTTACTTCAATGTCATAGAAAGATATTATTTTAAATCTGTGGGTGCACACATATAATTAAAATTTATTTCTTTTAGGAAGAGGTGTTTTTTTACGATTAGTCGTTGAGATGTATATAATAGTGTAGTATATTAAACAATTTCTGACGGATAATGCTCGCGATACAATCTTACTTCCGTCTTTTTTAACATGTCACTAAATCGCCGTCCTTCGCTCACGTACGTTTCGTGAATCCATAATTCATAGTATGTCATTCCTGCGAGTACGTGAGACTCATAATAATATCATATGTATATGTGAATTATATGTATGTGTGACTTCATGAGGTATAAATTGCGAAATATGTTAGATGAGAAAAAAAAGAAACAATATTTTTACTACGTGCCGAATTGCTGCGCAATCGTCCATTTCTGGTCTAGAGCATTTATTAAGACAAGCTTTTTAAGAGTAATTAGCAATTAGAACTGCATTCCGAACAACTGACCTCAAGCGCTATATCTTCTGTACAATTAATTAGAAAAAAAATCGCAGTAGGATCGAGTACAAGTCGCTTACGATATTGATCACGTGGGAGGTCGAGTTGAGCGGTAATATATTAACGACGGGAATTTTATGACAGCGCACGATTAGATACAAGGAATGTGTCATTGCGTCTACTAACGAAACGATCCAACGACAATAATAACAAGCAGAAATTTATAGTCGAAACACGAATAGGCGCACGACTTCCCACATACAGTTTTGTAATTCATACAAAGAACATATGACCGCAAAACGCTCGTTCGTAAAGTAAACGATTGGACTGCATGTGATATAAACGGCAAAAGACGCACTTGAGCGTTTCTGTGAATTTGTAACCAACCGCCCACGAAGACGGGCGGACAAACGAAAGAGAAATTTCGTATTTTACGTTCTCCGCTTCAGGAAGATTGTTCGAGAGATCCGGAGAAACGGGCTATTGTATACGTTGAATTAAGCAACGAAGCGAAAAGAGGAAAGTTTTGACAAAGCGCAAGATCAACCGCGCGAGTACTCCGGAGTAATCCGGAACCCGCGCGTATTTGCGAAAATAGCGGAGATTATCTGCGATTAAAGACACTTTGCTCGAGAAGACCAAAAGCAATCTGAGTGATGTCTCAAAAATTGAAGGAGGAAAACCTTGAATAGAAGAAGCGGTTTCTGCGAAATCGCGAAAACGAGGACTCGTGGAAGGAGACCAGTCTGGCTCGAGCCAGTTACAACCGTGTGTTTATAAATGTACATCGCCGCTTGTCCGGCATCTGTGAGAATGATATCAGAATAATCATTCGATTAAACTGGAGGCTACGGTGTCACTGGTGGTGCGTTATTATGAGACAACAGTCACATGTCCTTAGTTGGCTATATTTGAGCCTGATGATAATCACATGCTCGAGGAATGACTTTCATTGAACGTATTTGAGATTTGTTCCTTTTAAAAACCTTTAGATCATTAGAAAGCCAACAATAATAAATTAGTCGGAGATGCATCTGTAACATTTTGGCAACAAAATAAATTGTTTTTTTTTCTTGAGATATAAAATAAAAAAACGTTACGCAAATTTAATTTTTAAACAGAATTTTGAAATATTTTGAAATTAATGTTTGCTTCATGTTTTTACAAATCCACAATACAAAAATTGAACGGAATTTATAAATATTTCATTACTTTATATTTTATTGTTTTTTGTTTTTGTTTTGTGTTTTAAACGAGTGAATCAGTAATTTCACAGACCTATTATATGTATCGTATATATGTATCGAATTATATTATCAGGCAACTGAATGAACAAACATGTACACATCGAAATTCATAGCGAGGAATAATATTGTGTCGCTCTCAATTGAGTATGTATGCACACATACACCGAGACTGGTAATTCCCTCTAGACTCTCCAATTCATCACACAATGACGATCGATGTATTTGTTCTCAGTATTTTATTGAGTATATTGTGGAATCGAAAACACAAATATTCATAAAAACGAATTAAATTTGTTTCTCAATCTGATCTGTGTGTCTGTACGAGTTTTTTTGGTTTTTTTTTGTACAAAGTAAACCAGTATTCATTATTCATGACATTTGCCAAAATATATGCAAGCGTCTGGATCCGCGGTGGGAATTCGTCTATCGCACTATACGAATATGTATACACTGGTGTATGTAACTACCCTCCTCAACAAAATAATTAATTAACTGTTCTGAGCTAATTGCTCCTCGGATTCAATAATTTATTTATACATTCATATCTGTTTGTTTTCATATCCGATCTACATTCGATAATTGTTTCGCGAAAAATACGTCATTTCCATTTCCTGACGAAACTATCAGCGTCGCTCTGGAATTACCCTCGCTTTAATTCCGCTCGCAAATCCCGACCTTTGACCGATGAAAATAATGCATCGGAGTCGATTACGCGAACGCTCATTCGTTCGCTTAGAATGATTAGTTCGTGGCGTTATTAATCTCGTATGGCGTTTCTCGCAAGAGACGGAACGATGATGAATATGTGTGTAGAATATATATGCAACGACAGACTGCATATTCTACGTATGTGCGCGGTTCATATCCGCGCATTCCCTCGGGTCAATTAAGACGTAGAGTCTCGTGGCTATTCTATCATCCCCGTCGACCCTGAAGCCGCTCCAGCAGCAAACGTTGTGCACTTTGATGTACATAGACGCCCCAGTCGTTTGTTGTCGCTGTATTTCCGTCGCTCGAGAGAGCGTCGCGCGCGCAAAAAAAAACCACAATGTGGCCCGTAATTAATTCGTCTGTTCTCATTGCCTCCGGGAAGAAGGTATTAACTTTAGCGGCACCAATTTTTTTATACGATCGCGATGGATCTCCTATCGAACAGTAATGAATCGTTTACTCTCCTCCCTCGCGACGCGAATCGCGTTCGTTCGGAAACGGATTTAATTAGAATGCCCGTTCACTCGAACGGGTCCGTTCGCCCGGCGTGTTTCTTTGGTCACGGGAAATACGAGAGAGCGCAATTAAGATGCTGTCAGGAACAATCGATTATGTAGAACACAAAAAAAACTCGCACAGTTTAACGACTCTGTTACGTACGTGTAGGATCGTACACACGGATCAAAAATGCATTTGAATA